TTTGCAAACAATAATATGCCCTACATATAGAACTGAGAATGGAATCTGTTCCCATATGGTCATATTTTGGCAAATAAAATAAAATAAAGCGGTAAATTAGTCCACATGTACAGTACAAAAACCAAACACACAACTGTCTATTAACATTTATTGCATCAAATGAAGTGTTTCAAAGTCGAACACAATTTTTTTTCCTTTTTGTGGAATTTTTTTGTTGAATAATAAACAGTGGAGTTCAAAACCCTCCCAATTCCCTAAAATTTATACAGAGTTCGAAACAAAAAGGCACACAAAAACACAGGCAAAAGTTTTGCTTCTTCAACTGCTTTCTTCTTCTTCCACAGCAACAGCAAACCTTTTTTTTTTTTACTTTTTTGTTTTAAAATAGAGAAAGCCACACGTATGAGCAATTATAAGAAAGCCACACATATGAGAAAGCCACACATAGCAAACCCTGCTGATATTAGAAAATCCAAAGACAATAGCAACTCTTTCTTGCCCTTTTGACTGAGATTTTGTGTACATCTAACTTTCAAATGTGGCTTTGCAGGAAGTAATTGATGCTGAGGATGAGAAACTGAAAAAGCTAAAGAACGAATTTGGAAATGAAGTTTATGAAGCTGTGACAACAGCTTTGATGGAGCTGAATGAGTACAACCCCAGTGGCAGGTATGTTATACCTGAGTTATGGAACTACAACCAGAAAAGGAGAGCAACACTGAAGGAAGGAGTAGCATACATAATCGAACAGTGGAAATGCCTCAAATGGAAAACCAAAGACCACTAAAGGTGAACCTTCTTACTCTCTCTACCTGTATGTAATCAAGGGGATTCAAGACACCTCTGCTACTGACATTTTTTTTCTTTATTTTAAGAGCAAATTGTGTTTTGGAAGTATATGCACCGATTAATCCATATTATCATGAAACCGATTTATGGTTACAAATCCATACTCCTGCCAACTTCGTGTTTAATAGCTATCCATTTTGAATTATTTCACACTTGCTATGCTAATCGTGGTACGTGCATTATTCAGGTCCATGGCCTATCCATCTTCATTCAATGATGATGTCACTGTGGTGAATCATCCGTTATATTGATCATATACTGTGGTGTATGCTACTCCTTCCTTCAGTGTTGCTCTCCTTTTCTGGTTGTAGTTCCATAACTCAGGTATAACATACCTGCCACTGGCTCATTCAGCTCCATCAAAGCTGTTGTCACAGCTTCATAAACTTCATTTCCAAATTCGTTCTTTAGCTTTTTCAGTTTCTCATCCTCAGCATCAATTACTTCCTGCAAAGCCACATTTGAAAGTTAGATGTACACAAAATCTCAGTCAAAAGGGCAAGAAAGAATGACAGATATCGATCACTCCAGGGCAGATACAATCCTCCAAGGACCAACTCTTTTAATTGTAGAGGGAAAGAAAACTCAACAGGATTCGATGGCAATGACTCCGCCAACACTTCGAGTGCTTCTAGACTTGAAAGGTGACTTAAGTTGCAGCATCCCACAGAGCACTCTGCTGCCGAGAGTTGGATCTTCAGTTGGCGGACATTTGGAATCTTTCTCATTATATTTTCCGCTCTGTCGTCTAAAGTCACAATCAAGGTGGAAAGAGTATCTAAATTCGAGAGGCCGGAGGTGTTTTCAAGATTTTCACACGGCAAAGAACAAGTAACGTTCCAGCCCACCACATGTAGATGCCTCAACTTGGTCATGTTCCATATGGTATCTGGCAATGAAACAGTACCAGATTCAGCAATCATAACAAAAGTTTCTAAGTTGGAGAGCTTGTCAATTGTGGAGGGAATGGAACTCATTGCACCCTGAACACCCAAGTATCTCAGCTCAACAAGAGCTTCTACTTCTCTAGGAAAAACCTTATGCCGCAGAAAAATTTGCTCCAAATCCAACACCCGAAGTTTTTTGTAGATGCCAAAGACAAATGACATATCAGCCATGAATGAATCAGTCTCTTCAATCTGACTAAACAACAGTAGACTGCATAGTTGTGGACAGAATAGCCTTGACTTCTTAAACTGCTCTACCTTGGACCAAATGGACAACCTCTCGAGGTAGGGGCGCTCATTAAAAGTGGAAAGTTCACCGTAGCCACGCAACACCTGTAGGAAATTTTCTTGTTTGGCTCTGTCCTTACAAAACTCGTGTAATAGATCATGAATGCGACAAGTTTTGACTCCACCAGTATGTCCTTGTTTGGCAACCATGATTAGGTTTCGGCCAATAAGATCCATCATGTATTCTTCTGCTAAATCCTCTAATCTCTTTGGTTCTGTATCTTGCACAGGCTCTTCAGCAGATACAAAGCCTTCGGCTATCCATAGTCTCGTCAACTTCTCAGTTTCAATTTCTTGATCTTCTCTAAATGCCCCAAAGTAGAGAAGGCATGGTATCAAATGAAGTGGTAAGTTCATGTAACTCAGCTCCAATGTATACTTGAACCGGTCTGTATCATACGCAATGGCTGAAGTTAAACGATCAACTTCACTCCAAGCCTCATCCTCTATAGTTGACAAAATTCCAGCTATGATGACTATGGTAAGAGGCAATCCCTTGCAATTTCTTGCTATTTTCTCCCCAAGCATGCGTAGTGGTGGAGGACAATGTGCTTCTCCAAACACCTTCTTCTGCAAAAATTCCCAACTCTCTTCTTTGGTGAGTTCACGAAGATTGTGAAGTTCCACAGAATCCACACCAATTCTAACCTCCGAAGCCACACTAGATTCTCGAGTTGTAATTAGGATTCGACTTCCAGTCCTATCGTCAGGGAACGAATGACACAAGCCATGCCATACCCCAATGTCCCAGACATCATCTAAAACAACGAGATATCTATTCTTCAATAACAGTTTCTTGAGGTTTAGCATTAAATCAATCTCATCCAGAACTTTGTGCTCTTCATTCACGCTAGCCTGTTTACCAAGAGAGGACAAAATTTGAACTAGTAGCTTTTTCAAGTTATATTCTTGAGAAACAGTACACCAAAGAAACAAATAGAAGTGAGCCCGAACTGGGGGACTATTGTAAATTTTTTTGGCTAGAGTGGTCTTGCCAAGTCCAGGCATTCCCACAATGGGAACAATTTGCAACATTGCTGATCCTCTTTCGAGTCTGTTAATCACTTTTTTTGCCTCATCCTCGAGACCAACTACAAATTCATCGGTCATTGGTACTCTACCTCTTGATGGCTTGAAACGGGTAGTCTTGCGAACTTGTCCTTTGAAGCTATGACAGGAGGGTTTACTTCCTGAGATGCTTGAACCCCTTTGCTGAGCCACAATAAGCATAACATTGTTGTTCGTGTTGACTAACATAGCACAAGATTCAGCAGATTCTCCGACCACTAAGGAGTCAACACCCAGTTCTTTCATTTCATTCAGAAAGAGTGAGAAAACTACAATTCCTGCCTCACTAATAACAGCCACAATTTTATCATTTAGCTCATTCATATTCTCCTGCGCCTCATTCAGAATGCTTCTCAAAAATCTCAGTCCCTCATAGAGTCTTTTCATTTGATCTTTCACAGAAACTGCGAAGCTGGTTCTGCACCATAGGAGCTCCCAAAGACTACTTATGAGAGAATCATTAAAATCCTTCAGTATTTGCATATCTGTCTGCGTTGTAAGCAATGATTCTGGGGATTTCGGAGCTTTAAGGACTTTGACATATGTCTCAAAAACTTGGGTGTCAACGGGGTTAATCTTCTCCAGTAGTTCACTGATTATGGAGCACATCCTGGGATCATGCATCTCTTCATCTTCCTTGTAAAACAAACACTTGTAAGAGAGGCGTGCGGCATTTAGAGCCACAACTTGAACGTGAGCCAACAGATCTCCCAATTCAAGTTCTTCAACACCCAGAAATTTGGCAAAGCCAATGAAATTTTTCAAGAATGTAAGCTTGTCTTCAAGGGCCTCAATATGTGCGTGCAAAGCACTGTTGTAATCTTCCATGGACTCAAAATAGCGACGGCTGAGAAGATCGATCAGATTCTGTAGAACGGAGTCTATGAAGTCCACGAGTTCATAGTCTCTTAAGCAAGAGCCGGACTCTGATGAGCTGCAGCTCGACAAGGTATCGTATATGTCGATGATATCTTGCTTAAAGGACTCGATGTTTCGCAGCAAATTAGAGACGACTGGTTTCAAAGCTGAGACTACGCTTTTCAAATTGAATGAACTTTTTGACCTAAGATAGAGGGACTTTATATCCATCCCAGGTCTGTTTACAGCAGCTTCAATCTTATACAAGAAAGCTCGAAGCCTTACCTTCAATTGGTCGTTGCTCCAGTTTCTTGCACACAGAAGAACTGGTTTCAGGAACAGCAGATTCAGCTTGAGGGCCTCAAATCCTTCACGCAGGTTGGAAAATCCAGTTTCAAACGAATCACGTTTTTCGAGGTTGTTCTGGAGCAACTCCAGATTATGCAAGACGGAATCGACACGAGTAGAGGCCATGTCTCTCTCTCTTTGCGGGGATCTTCCTCTGACTCTCGAATTTCAGAGATGGTAAAGGAGAAAGAAATCTCAGCGCTAGAGCCAGCAACAGAGTATTTTCTCGCTGAACAACAATACTTCCTGAGTGACAATTAGCAGGGGGAAAACGGGTGTTGTTGGTTTCTCCGCTGGGACAATGCTACAGTGCCTATAGTTATGATAACGATATTAGAAATTTACTACTATATAGTATCTATTACCTTTAATGATAGATCAAATTTTTTAATGACTTTTTAAATATTATATTAAATTAATTAATATTAATTTTAGTAAATTTTTAATTAAAACTAGTAAGTATATACCTGAAAAATAAGTTGTAGTTAAAAATACAAATTTACACTTTAAATAATTTAATTTACTTATTATTTAACAAAATTTACTTTTGTTTAAATTAAAATTACTAATACTAAAAGTAAAAATTTTTCATAGTTAAGTTAAAAATCACCATTTCTGAAACAGGTTTGCCTCTCCAAAGTTGGTTGCCTTCTTTTTTTTTTCTCACCTCAGGACATGATGGAATAGAAATTTTTTCCTTGCAAAATTTTTCTGTTCAGTCCACATTTTCCATCTCTACTTCCTGGATCCTGGTCGATCGGGCATTTGCAGACCCAACAAAAAGGTTGAGAATTTTATTAAGGCTGGGTGGTGGTATCAAGCAAGAGAGCGGATAAAAAATAACAGCCAAAAGGTTAGACTATCATGTTTCTTGAAAATCGCTTCATTATATTGCTTTAATTTGTTTATCTTTCATTTGATTTGATTGTCAACTTGAAAAATGTATGGGAAATGACTTAGACCCTGTATGTGAAACATAGTAGGGTGTCGGCATTTATGGGAAAAGCAATTAATTCAGGAATGCATATAAGCTGTTTGGTGAAATGTCAAAAAGAAATTTGTATGATATGATTGATGCTTGTACGGGGTTAAAAGCACAGAGCAACAAGCCTTTTAACTTCCAAATCCACCGAATCCATTCAACTGAATGCTTTATTGTTTCATTAGGCATACAAAAGTTCGATGTTATGCATAATTTAAGAGAACAAGAGAGCGGATAAAAAATAACAGCCAAAAGGTTAGACTATCATGTTTCTTGAAAATCGCTTCATTATATTGCTTTAATTTGTTTATCTTTCATTTGATTTGATTGTCAACTTGAAAAATGTATGGGAAATGACTTAGACCCTGTATGTGAAACATAGTAGGGTGTCGGCATTTATGGGAAAAGCAATTAATTCAGGAATGCATATAAGCTGTTTGGTGAAATGTCAAAAAGAAATTTGTATGATATGATTGATGCTTGTACGGGGTTAAAAGCACAGAGCAACAAGCCTTTTAACTTCCAAATCCACCGAATCCATTCAACTGAATGCTTTATTGTTTCATTAGGCATACAAAAGTTCGATGTTATGCATAATTTAAGAGAACAAGTTGACTGCACAAATTAGTTCGGTAATTTCTATTTCTTCAAGACTAAAAGAAAAATCAGATGATAAAACTATTAAATAAATCATTTAAATCCATGGTTATTAATTTTAAACTTTTACATATGAAACAGGGATGCAATTTGAGATAACTTTCAGTAATCTTTGGGTATGGGTTGCGTAAGATTGCAATCTTTAGGTATGATCAGCTTGAGTATGGATTGCGTAGGAGTCCAAAGTTGCAATATTTCATATGTACTACAACGAATTTAAGTAAAAATCTCAGAAAACATACACCAACACAAACATTGACATGATAGCTTCTAGCATTATGCTGAAAATGGAAGAAATGACGGGTCATGTAGATAAGCTAGTACAGTTATCTAACAAATCGCCCAAGCATGGTGGTGATATAAGTTGGAGAATCATTGTTGATCGGCTTGAAAAATTATCTTCTAATGAAATTCAACTATTATGCATACAAGAAGACACTTTCGGTCTAAATTCCATGAGACTTTCCCACACTTTCGGTCTGAACTCCATAGTAATAAGCTTTCGGGATACACTTTTGGTCAAATGGGGATACAATGTGTTCGGCCAATAAATGCAGTGTCTGTTCTAAATGCTTCTTTGGTGAAGTTGTAGTTAAGAAAGCCTTAATGGGAGCATATATGTGTGTATATATATATATATATATCCTGGTTTTAGAAAAAGTCAGAGCATGTGGCTTTGTATTACTGGTGATCAATATATGTTCAAAGGAGGCTTCCTAAGTCTTCAAAAGTCAGAGCGTACTCTTCCAAGCAGATGCCAAACAAACTGATCTACTTAATCGAGCTTGTTTTGGCCGCCCGGTAGTCACAGCTGAGAAGGATAAGCAGTGGTTCCAATTAGGTATGGAGGAAGCTTTTTACCTCTTCTATGTCCTAAAATGCATCGAAATCATCAACGAAAATAATTGTGAAATTGATAGTGAAGAGTTGTGGATGTACATGATGTCCAAAAAGGAAAATTTTACGAATTTATTCAAAGCTTATTCTCATCTTCGGATGAAGAATTGGGTGGTTAGATCAGGATCACAGTATGGTGTGGACTTTGTCGCCTACCAGTATCATCCATCTTTGGTGCATTCAGAGTATGCTGTGATTGTTTTGTCTGATAACAATGGAGAAACAAATGGGCGTTTGATGGTTTGGTCTGATTATCATTGCACACTTGACTTTGTGGCAGTGTTGCAAAGACATTGTTGCTTGTTAATATTGATAAATGTGGAGAGAATGTAACATTGCCATCATGTTTAGAAAGTTACATTGTTGAAGAAAGGACAATCACTAGGTAGAGTCCACAACAATGCCGTGAGAACCAAACAATTGCAACTGGGGAATCTTGACACCGAGAATTTGCGGCAGCAGTTGTCAACAAACATTAATGACAAATCAGACCATGAATATTTTGATGATTTTTAATGCAGGCTTTGATGGTTTTAGAAGGGATTGTCCCTTCTGTACAATTTAGAAAGATTCAAGTCCCTATAGATTGTTTAAGCTCAAAATGTAATTGATATCAACGTTGCATGTTCCTGTTAAAAAAAAAAAAAAAGAGGCTTCAGCCTTTCCAGTTTAAAATGGAAATGCAGAATCAAACTTCAATACCCTCTGGTTTTCGAGCTACTCATTTATTAATCCTGAAGGTTATCAGTTACTTGGTCCTTGATTCTCCAAAAATAACTGAAAAAAAAATGTATGTTTTCAGTCTTTCAGTCTCATATGTAGCGTAGGTAATGGCTTATTACTGAACTACAACTTCGGGATACCCTTTTCGGCCAAATGAGGATACATTTTCTCAGGCCTGAATTCCATAGGCCTGAATTTAGCTAGAAATAGCAAAGATAAATTATAATTTTTCCCAACTATGAATACTTTTATTGTTCATCTTCTCTGCAAATGATCTTGTAGAAGAAATCCCCACAAATTCTTAGGGTGTAGGACCAATTCCATTGCAATGTTAAAACGTTCAGTCTCGGATTGAAACTGAAAATTCATGACACTATAAAATGGTCCTAAAATAATTAGTACACTATGATACAATGTTATTTTAACAACAAAATTTTTTTTTTTTACTAAAAGTCTAAAATATCCATGACATACGTATAAGGGATATTTTACCATATTTGTATCTCACATCTAATCATGAAAGCTAATTTGAGAAAAAATATTTTTGACAATAGAATTATTTTGAATTTAGTCAACAAGTTGAGATTTTTTAAACAATAAAAGTGAAATATTTTGGGAACTTAGTTGTTTATTTTCCCATAATTAAAAATTGCTATATTTTAGCAATTGTTGCCATTGACTTTTCATTCTGTAGACTAATTTTTATCAATGCAAAATTAGTTTTATTAATAATAATTGAAGTTCCATTGATCCGAGGATTGGCATTTTATTGCTATTATTTTATATGTAAATATTTAACCTAAGTAATAAAATAAATAATAGCTACTTAAAAAAAGAAAAATTGGTGCTCAATTGATTGTGGTGTAAAATATTAGTATACAATTAACTAGAGTTTGAAATGGAATTAAATTTATTTAGTATTTTACTGCTAACAACTTTGACCCCATTTAATGGTTAAAGAAAAAATAAAAGAAACGTAGAGACTGGAATTGGTACCTTAGTGTGAAAAAGGAAAGTTTTTCTAAACTAATGCTGCGTGAAATTTTGGATGCACATGAAATTAGAAATGTGATAACTTTGCAATTCATTCTCGTTTATGATGAATTTCTTCGATTCTATATAGAATCCCAATTTTTTTCGTTTAGCCGGAAAACATTCTTTTTTTGTCATATTGATGGCTTTTGCTTTTAAGATTATCTACATGTCGGTGGTTAGTATTATTGACAAGGTTAGAGGTCATGGAAAATGTTACTAATTTTAGGAGAAATTATGTATTGTAAAAATGGTTTAATAATTTTCTATTAAGCATAACTACTGCATACAAAAGGAAAAGCTATTTGATTTTATTTTGCTTTGATTAGAAGAAATTGTGCTAGTAATAAAGGAAATTTCAATTCAACAATCAACGTGCACATGATTACAGTAAATTTTTAGTCATTTAGACTAATATATGCGATAAAGTAGTCAGATTTAGTCGTTTGTGAATTCATAATTTTAACAGTTTATATAAAATTTATCTATAAAATTCATCTATAGAAAATATGGCGATGTACAAATAAGTGCAATTCTATATATAACTCGAAAGATTTGTTGTTACTGTCATCCAAACTTTCTAACCTTTCACAAATTCAAAATTTATAATATGACAAATTATTCTTACATATTTTATAAGGTCATATGCAAATAAAAAAAGTTTTCATAGTATATTTAAAATGCTTAAAATATATAACATTTATAAATGATACGTACAATTGTGTATCATACATTTACATTACGAGTAATTACTAACTATAATGCTAAGCTTCAATTATTAATAAAAAAATCTTAGCATTATTTCAAATAAACTCCCTAATACTTGTTTCATATAAGTTTCTTTAAGTAAAATAGTAAATTTATACCACAAACTAGTAAGTTTTGATGATTAACCAAATTTACTATTCTATCAACAATATTTACTATTAATCTATAAAAACTTACTATTACTTGAACTAAACTTACTCTCCAAAAACTAAGTTTCAGATATAGAGTAGTAATTTACTTCAAAAAAAAAAAGTAAGTTCCATATTTATTCAAATTTACTTTTTGAGACATAAAAGTTACTAATTTATTGAGTTAACTTACTATTTTTTATGTAAAACTTACTAACCAAAATTTTAGATACTATTTTATTTAGATGACCGGTATAACAGGTAATCAAATGGTCGCTAAAAGTATTTTTACCTGTTATATCAGGTAAAAACAGTTTCGTTACCATAACGATAGTTACTTCAGACTTTTCCTCTCTCTGAATCAAGGCGGGGATACCATTATCCAACATTTTGAGGGCGGTTGACTTGGTGAAGACCGGAGTAGAAAAAGAAAAAGGGTAATTTCGTCATGGAAAATAAACAAACAACGAATTCATTAACTTTGCATTTACTCAAGAAGAATCAACTTTTAAAAAAATAATTAAAAAATATCCACTAAAAACTGCAGCAAACAACCATTATCATTATGGCACTAAGAAAGCGACAATCAACCTGCACTTGCATGATAAAAGACATCTGCATTATCCTTCAAGTGTGAAAGGGTTGGTTTGCATTGAAACAGGACAATTATTAAAGTGAAAAACAGGCCCACATTTCTCTATCCACCCACGCAACCAAATATATATATAAGACAGGCTTTATTGAGGATCCAATGGAGATCATTTATAGTTTTATCAAACCAAAGTTAATTAACCATCAAGTAGTAACACGTGTTCACTTTTTTGTCCTTAGGGCTGGCACCGGAGCTGTTTGGGAGGAGACCCGATGCCAAATGGCTCCCCCGCCCTCGCACTCGCTATCCCCTGCGCCTTGCCTAGTTTCTCGTGCAGTCCCCCCGGCAAAAGACAATAGTGTAGAAATTAGGCCGTCTCGGGTAAATCTCCCACGTTGTCAAAAACCTTGATGTGTGCTCAGCAAATTATGAAAATACATGTATTGCATGGCAATCAACTATTCCCGGAATAGTTGGTCATTAGGAAAAGGCTTGGGGCTCTCTTTAGATGTAGTCAATGTTTTAAAATCCGGACCGTCAATTGAACCGGTGAAGTGAAAGAGTCGAGATTCAATCGGTCGGACCGGTTCAACCTCGGTTTAATGAATTTTTTAAAAAATAATTTATATAAATATATATATGCACAAAATAA